TTGGATTTCAATTTTAAATTTCAAATTGGAATGGTGGGAAAGGATTTGGAAAAAAAAGAATTAAATAAATTATAATTTGTTTTAAAAATCGAAATAAAAAATCAATGGAAAATTAAGTTAATCATTTATGTTGGCAGACAAATCATTCAATGTCCCACTGATTTTTACATTTGAATTACTCACCTCTTTTAAATGTTTTCTACATTGGAATTGCTCACTCTTTTGAAATGCAAATTTTGAATTAATTTCAGATTTTGGATTTCAAATTTAAATTTCAAATTGGAATGGTGGGAAAGGATTTGAAAATAAAAAATTAAATAAATAATAATTTGTTTTAAAAATCGAAATAAAAAATCAATGAAAAATTAAGTTAATCATTTATGATTGCAAACAACTCATTCAATGTCTCACTGATTTGTACATTGGAATTACTCAGCTCTTTTAAATGTTTTCTACATTGAAATTGTTCACTATTTTGAAATTCGAATTCTGAATTGATTTCAAATTATGGATTTCAATTTTATATTTCAAATTGTAATTGTGGGAAATGATTTGGAAATAAAAATTTAAATAAATAAAAATTTATTTTATAAATCGAAATAAAAAATCAATGAAAAATTAAGTTAATCGTTTATGGTGATAGACAACTCATTCAATGTCACACTGATTTGTACATTGAAATTACTCAGCTCTTTTAAATGCTTTATGCATTGGATTTGCTCACTCATTTAAAATTCGAATTCTGAATTGATTTCAAATTTTGAATTTCAAGTTTAAATTTCAAATTGTAATTGTAGGAAAGGATTTGGAAATAAAAAACTAAATAAATAATAATTTCTTTTAAAAATCGAAATAAAAAATCAATGGATAATTAAATTAATCATTTATGGTGGCAGACAACTCATTCAATGTTCCACTGATTTGTACATTGGAATTACTCAGCTTTTTTAAATGTTTTCTACATTGGAATTGCTCACTCTTTTGAAATTCGAATTCTGAATTGATTTCAAATTTTGGATTTCAATTTTAAATTTCAAATTGGAATGGTGGGAAAGGATTTGGAAATAAAAAATTAAATAAATAATAATTTGTTTTAAAAATAAAAATAAAAAATCAATGGAAAATTAAGTTAATCATTTATGGTGGCAGACAACTCATTCAATGTCCCACTGATTTGTACATTTGAATTACTCAGCTCTTTTAAATGCTTTCTACATTGGAATTGCTCACTCTTTTGAAATTCAAATTTTGAATTGATTTCAGATTTTAGATTTCAATTTTAAATTTCAAATTGGAAGGGTGGGAAAGGATTTGGAAATAAAAAATTAAATAAATAATAATTTGTTTTAAAAATCGAAATAAAAAATCAATGAAAAATTAAGTTAATCATTTATTGTGGCAGACAACTCATTTAATGTCCCACTACTTTTTTTTGTTGTATATTATGAGTAAAAAAGACCTCTACTTTTTTTTTTATATCCCACTATTTTTTTCATGGGTAATTGTTAGGGTTTAGGAATGTTGCATAAAAAAAACAAAAACTTAAAAAAAAATATTGTAAAATAATAAAATTATTTATATTGTAAAATAAATTCAAAATTCGGAAATAAATTAAATGAAAATTATGTGAACAATTTTTTGTGGCAGACAACTGCATACTACTTTGGAATTTCCAAATTAATAATAACTCAACTCTTCTAAATTTTGAATTTATGTTTAAATTTGAATTTTGGATTTAAATTTTTAAGTTTGTAATGATGGAAAAACTTTTAGAAAAATGACAACTCATTTAATGTCCAACTATTTTTCTTTTATTGTATATTATGAGTAAAAAGACCTATACTTTTCTTTTGTTGTATATCCACTATTTTTTACATGGATAACTATTAGCCCTATTAATGCTGAATAAAAAAAAACAAAAACAGTAAAAAAATTGTAAAATAACAAAATTATTTATATTGTAAAATAAATTTGAAATTTGGAAATAAATTAAATGAAAAATTATGTGAACTTGATATGTGGAAAAAGAGTTCAGCATTTAATATTTATGCAGTGGAAAAAGAGTTCAACATTTAATATTTATGCAGTGAAAAAAGATATATATAATAAATTTGAATTTAATATAAAATTGTAGATTAAACAATAAAATATATTAAATTATAAAAATACATTTATAGTCGATTAAAATTATTTAAAATTTAAAATTTAAAAGAAAAAAAGAAATGGAATAATTTATACTTTACAAAAAATAAATTAAAATTTTAACATAAATTTTTTAAATATAAATGTATAACCAATTAAAATAATATACATGTATCTTTTAAAAAAATATTTAACATAAAAATTTTAAATATCCATGTATAACCAATTAAAAAATATATATAAATCATAAATTAAAATAGAAAAAAATTCTATAAAAAAATCAGTATAATTAATATAAAATGTTTTAAATTTTAAATTTAAATAAAAAATGACGTCTGTCATTCTGTAAAAAAAATTATTAAAATTTAAGAACTATAAAAATTAAAATTTTAATTTATTACATAAGAAAGAAATTAAACATTCATTTTTTTATTGTAAGAGTGTAATTAACACAAATACTTGCAAAAAATAATTATTTATATAAAATGCTGACAGTTAGAGGTGGAAAACTGGGCTCGGCCCGGAGGGTGGCCCGCCAATATATTTTTATAATTCAATTAAAATTTTATCTTTCTTCTTTTATAATTAAATTATTAAACCTGCTTACCAAAAAAAAATTACTAAATCTGATTTCATTTTTTGTAAATAAAAATTTGTGAAATTCCAAAGACTAACGACACTAATCCTTGCAAAAAAAAATTGCAAGTATAAAATGCTGACAGTTAGAGGTGAAAAATTGGGCTCGGCCCGAAGGGCCTGCCCGCTAATATATTTTGTAATTCAACTGAAATTTTATTATTTTTCTTTTATAATTACATTTCTAAATCTGATTTCAATTTTAGTAAATATAAATTTGTGAAATTCCAAGACTAACGACACAAATCCTTGCAAAAAATAATTATTTATTATTATTTTATAAATCTGATTGTAGTAAATGAAAGTTCATCTCCGAGATAAAATATAAAAACCTAGATGCATCTATAAAAATCTTTTTTTATGGATAAATATAAAAACCTATTACATGCTGATAGTTAGAGGTGACAAACTGGACTCGTCCCGGAGGACCGACCCACAAACATATTTTATAATTAAATTAAAATTTCATCCTTCTTCTTTTATAATTAAATTCCTAAATCTGTATTTAATTTTTGTAAATACAAATTTGTAAAATTCCAAATACTAACGACACAAATCCTTGCAAATAATAATTATTTATTATTATTTTTTAAATGTGATTGCAATAAATGAAAGTTTATTTCAAAGATTAATGTAGTTGCTTTGATTCTGTTCATATGCATTTGTTGCAATGTAAGCAAAAAATATGACTTATACATGCTTATTTGATTAAGTTTCATTCAAATCCCGTTCAGACAACATTTTTTTTTTGGTCCTTAAAAAAATTTAATCCAATCTTTTTATTTTGCTGATACTATGACTTTTGGGTGTTAACATATTAGTGTTACTTATTTAATGAGTTTTTTCCTTCTGTATCGTAGGCACAAGGAACGAAAATCACACAAGAAATGACATATTTAGTAAGTGTTGAACGCATCCCTCCAATGATTGCTACGAAATGACACTGAATGAATAGCGTTTTCATATTATAGGTAAAAGCTGATATTTTAAATCCATATTTACTTGGTGTTATCGTTACCTTGATTTTGTTGATAAATGTTATAGTTAGCAATGATTTGTACGCATTTTTCTTTTTATATCCCTTTCTCATGCTAACATGGTGTATTATAAAGTATTATGGTGTATTATGATATAGTTGTATGTGCAAAATTATTTATCCATATGAATAACAGATTTTTGTTTATGGTTGATATTTGCAAAGCTCTATGTCAATGCTGTAATTTTTTTCACCTGAAATATATAACAAAATAACAACACAATTTTTTGTAAATATAAAGTTTGCAGTGCGATTAGCCAACCACGACGGACGACAAAAATTTTGATCTTTTTTCTCCGTGCATCGCACGAGTAATATACTAGTTATATGAATTTTACAAAAAATATTCTTCTTTAATTCCCCTGATTTTTAAAGTGACATAATTTTGAGATCGATGAAAATAATTTTATCTATATAGAGAAACAATAAACCCTTAAATTATTCCATTTTTCACGTGCAGCTTTTCTTAGATCAATATCAGAGGCTCTCCGCATTGTGTTGTTCACTCGTTAAAATTTATACCCCACATCTGTACCGAATTTTTCTGCAACTAAAGGGTTATGATATTTGAATATTGAGGTGTGGAAAAATTAAGCATACCCCATAGATGATGAAGCATTTGAGCGTTAAAACACTTTCTTTTCCATGCGATGTATTTATGCTTTGTCAGCTTGCTAAACATGCGTCTAATTTTGTTATACTCGATTTATTTTTGTTATTTTATTTTTGGGGATGAAAGAAGATTTTTATTATGAGGAAAGGAGAGAAACTAAATATTAACCAGAAGAGTTGAAAAAGAAAAAGAAAATTAAAAATACTACATTGTTTTCATTTTGTTCCTTTTTTTTTAGTAAGCTTCATTTTGTTCCTTTGCAAGTCACTAAACAATGAAGACAATGTGATATTTTTTGTAATTATTAATAAAAAAATATTAACTAAAAAAAAACAGCAAATATACTATTATGCTACTACTGTTAAATGTAATAGAAAATTTCTTTCCATGTTTTCCCTTATGCAAGGTGCATGTGCAAGCACCAATGGTGTAATCATATCTACATCCTCCAAAAGTAACAAAACACAAAAGATCAACTCTGATTTCAGCACCTCTATCTTCTTGCATCTAAAAACCAGGATTTTTTGTTTTTAAAGAAAAGAAACCATTAGGCTCAGGGTACTGGTGAAACCATTATGCAGATGGGTGAGTGGTGTTGTCTCCACTAGTATGCAATGGTGAAGGAGAAGTAGTAGTACAATCCAGGGTGCTCTTTCCTTCAAATGCCTGCCACCTTTGGAGTGCTTGTGGTAATGTCATATCAAAGTTGATCCCATATATGTCATCAGCATCTGGTTCTGAAGGCTTCCATACCTCAACAAGAGGTGATAGCACATTCACTGCATGACTCATGTCAGGACGCTGATATGGCTCCCTTGCACTGCAGTGCCCTGCTAACTCTGCAACAGTGCTAATACTTGCTAAGGTTTCCTCATCAACTTCGATTGTTGGGTCGATGATCGTTCGAATTGAATCTTTGTTCAGTAGCATCCTACGGAACCATGTAACAAGGTGGATGTTCTCTTCTGATTGGCTCTCATCAAGTGCTTTCCTTCCAGTCATCATCTCCATAAGAATCACTCCGAAACTATATACATCAACCTTTGTTGTAAGTCGACCAGTAGCTGCTCAATCATTCATGAAATTCCCATATTATTGCCTTGGATAATTGAACGAGAAAGGATAAAAACTGAATTCTATGCTAAAGTGTCAATAACTATTCATCCTGATGATCATTACAGAAAGGAACCACAACTTAACTGGCCAAAAAGGCTTGTTTCTATATAATATGCAGCGGCCAATTATTGGCAATGCAAGGCGTAAACAACAACAACAATCATGTCACTCATTTTCAGAAACAATGATTGGATTATTCATGACCCAGATAGATCATCTGCTATTGGAGCTTGCATATACACATTGCATAAGTGAAAACATCTGAAGGAATTTTTAATCAAATTTTGATGCATAAGAAGTCAGATATAAACAAGCATAGCAAGTAATTGTTTTTCCAGATGACTAAAATTAGTCATAGGCAACACAATTTTAAAAAGATAATTTAAATGTCTACCTGCGTACTCTGGTGCCAGGTATCCAAAAGTTCCAGCAAGTCTAGTTTGAAATGAGGTTTTTCCTTCTGGAGCAAGCCGAACCAATCCAAAGTCTGACACTTTAGCCCTCATATCATCTCCCAGCAAAATGTTGGATGGTTTGAGATCCCTGTGGATAAAAATTTGTTGAGCCAAACCATGAAGATATTCAACACCTCTAGCAACATCCAAGGCAATAGAAAGCCTAGTCTTCCATTCTAGTGGTTTTATCCCTTCCACTTTCCAGTTGAACAAATGTTTACTTAGAGCACCCTGAGGCATGTATTCATAGACAAGAAGTTTCTCGTTTCCATCCAAGCAATAACCCAGGAGTGCAACCAAATGTCTATGTCGAACCTTAGTAAGCACTGCAATTTCAGCCATGAACTCATTCTGCCCTTTCTCATCTACCATTCCCGATTGCATCCTTTTCACTGCAATCTTTGTCCCATCATGCAATTCTCCTTTGTATACAGTTCCGAAACCCCCCTTCCCCAATATGTTTTCTTCACTAAAATTGTTGGTAACTTCTCTCAAAACTTGAATTGAAATTAACATATTACCAGCTTCCACCTGATAGACATTAGAATTGGGGCTTAATGCAGCAGTTCCTTCACCACCAACACCAGCACCCGTAACACTTATCTTCCTAGCATTTCCATCCCCATAATGACGAGGATGTACCACAATTCCAGTTGGATTTTGAACTTTTCCAGCATGCTTCAACTTTCTCCGGAACTTAAGAAATATTAGAACTCCAAGAACAAGTAAAAAGACAAACCCCACCACAACTCCAACAATGGCTCCAGCACTGAGTTTCTTATCATTGCCTCCAGAGCCCGAGCCAATTTGAGAAGTGGGTTTATCCTTTCCAATATCAGGATTCCCACCAAATTTAACAACCATACCATCATGGAAAGGTGGTACGTGGCCATATAAATTATTATTGGAAACATCTAACTCTTGCAGAAGAGGCATACTAGTAAGTTCTCTTGGTATGGTACCAGCGAGACCATTGTTAGAAAGAAGCAATTTTGTCACTGATGTAAGGCTGGCAAAATTAGGAGAAATCGTGCCGGATAGACCCATGTTCTGAAAGTTGATAACAGAAATGTTTCCACCAGAGCAAACTATCCCAGTCCATTTATTAGCACATGGATCATTACCCTCCCAACTTTCAGCAAACCTGAGAGGATAACCCAAAGGTTCAACAATAGACAGTAAAGCATTTACAAGGGGACTGCATGGCTGCCCAGGCACCTTTGTGCAAAATTGATTTCTCCCCCCATCCATATTATTGTCAACAGCTACCCCAGTTTTGAACATGGGAGGGGATCCTTGAAGATAATTATTGGTTAAGTTCACAACCTGAAGACTTGGAAGACCCGTTAGGGAGGGTGGAACAACACCAGTAAACTGGTTATCCCTTAAGTTTACGTCAAACAGTTGATCATGGTGTGACAAGTCTGGTACAGGACCAGTAAATGCATTATCATTAACCCAAATTTGCTTCAGAGATGTCATGTTCTGTACAACAGCGAGGGTACCATTGAGTTTAGAGGCGCTAGTCTGTCCATTCAACAAAAGGTTCTCGATTGAACTATACGAGAGACTTGCAGGCAAAGGACCTTCTAGAGAATTACCAGACAAAGCCAAATAAACCAAACCTGTCAAGGGACCATCTCTGCCAAAAATATCTGGGATTGTCCCAACAAAGCCGACACTCTGAGCACTAAAACTTTGAAGTCCAACACAATCCTTAAGAGTGTCAGGAATCGGCCACCGAGGGAAAGGGTTGTCGTCGATTCTCACTTCTTGCAAACTATCCATGCCTTTGAAGAAATCGCTTGGTATGGAGGTAAAATTGTTGTCACGGATTATCAGCCTCTGTAAGGATTTTGAAAGGTAAGGGAATGGCCCTGTGAGACTGTTGCCTTGACACTCGAAACGTTCCAATTCTGTGAGCTTCTCCAGTTCCTTGGGGAGAGAGCCATGAAGGTTCTGGTTCCCAATTTGAATGGCGGTAACACGTTTTCCTGAATCACATTGAATGTGCCTCCATTTGCATACATCAGTGTCTGTCCATTGGAAGCTAATGGGGGCATTGATCATGTTTTTCAGCATGTTCATCACCTCTGCATCCTGACATTGAACAGAAACAACCATAACAGAAACCAACAAAAGAAGACGAAATACCAAAGAACCTCCAAAACCCAGTTCGAGTTTCCCCATTTTCTTTATCTCTTTTTCTCGAGAAAATCAGCCCAGAAAGTGAAAGAAAATAAAAACAAAGAGGAAACCAAAAATGGAAAAAGAAAAGAAAAAAAAAGAATGGGTGACGAAGAAAACAGAGAATCCCCGAAAGGGTTTAAGGAGGGAGTTGATCACATTGCATTTTGAGGAGGAGGGAGGAACCCCCTCAACGGAAAAAGCGAATTTTGGAGAGAGAAAAACTCGCTTTTTTGGATTTAAAGGGAGAAATGGAAGAGGGTGCAACAAAGGAAAAGAAAGAAAGAAAGAAACTGCAGAGTTGGTTTTGTTTGGATAGAGAGAAAATGGTGGGGGGAAAACATGCGTGTGTGGACCCCACATAGTTTGGAGGTTTGAGAATCAATGGCTTGCAATGCATGTTGCAATCTCACTCCTCCGAGACGAGGGCAATGCACGTTATGGTTTCTACTGAGTTGTGTTCGTTAAAAGTTAAAACTTAAAAGGGCGATAAGGCTTACGATATTTTCCTTTTGTTTGTTAGGTTTTCTTTTCTAACTTCTCCCTCATCAAACCCTTTTTTTTTTTCTCTATCTGTCCCCATCATCCGAATTGAAATTTATTTCACTAATTTTAATTTAGAATCTCTTTAAAGATTATCCTAGGAATGTATTATAAAGGGCAAAAAACAGATTTTAAATTTGTTTTTTTAAAATATTTTCTATTTTATTAACACTTTAAAGATTAAATTATGTTTGAAAAAAGTTGATTTAATTATTTTTTTTTTTGTTTCTCAAGGTATTCTTCGGCCGACAGCCGAAGACTAATCCCTTCGAGGCGGAAGATCACATCAAGTGAGTAAATCTCTTTCAACAATGTCTTTTACATACGCACGACCATGAATCGAACCCTATCAGCATGCTTAAGATTATTTAATTATTTTATATGAAGACAATAACTAAAAAAATGTGGGGAAAATAATATGTAACAATAAAAATAAATTTTTTTTTGGTGGACATATAAATTATTTTATATACTAACATGAGTTAGAATAAAATTAGTTAATTGTGTAATAATACGTAATTATATATTATAATAATTTTAAGATGAGTTGGTCAAATTAAACTTGGGCTGATTAATATAAAATTATATATTAAACAAAAAATATATTTAAAATTATATAATATATGTATAGTTGATAAAAAATAATTTAAATTTAAATAAAAAATAAGAAATGACGTATTTATACTTTAAAAGAAAATTTATTAAAATTTTAACTTAAAAACATAATACAAAAATAGAAAAAAAAATTGTACAAGTATTTTTTTAAAATAATATTTAACATAAAAATTTTAAATATACATGTATAACCAATTTTAATAAAAAGTATAAAAATCATAAATTACAAGAGAAAAAAATTATATAAAAAATATATAACTAATACAAAATAACTTAAATTAAAATTTAAATAAAAATAAAATGACCTCTATCATTCTGTAAAAAAACAAATTACAAAAATTTAATCACTAAAAAGTAAAAAAATATATATATATAAGAAATAAATTAAACTTTTATTTTTTTATTGCAAGAGTATAATTAACACAATTTATTATGTCATGAATGAATAACTAAAAGCTATTATTTGGAGAAAGTACACAACCTTCTATGGATGCCCGCCCAGTCCGCCAACATGTTTTTATAATTAATTTAAAATTCCACTATTCTTCTTTTATAATTAAATTCCTAATTTAGATTTTAATTTTTGTAAATACAAATTTATAAAATTTCAAATACTAACGACGCAAATCATTGCAAAAAAATAATTATTTATTATTATTTTGTAAATTTAATTGTAATAAATGAAAGTTCATCCCTGAGATAAAATATAAAAACTTAGACGCAACTATAAGAGCTTTTTTGTGTGGATAAATATAAAAACAAATTAAATACTAATAGTTAGAGTGGCAAACTGGGCTCGGCCCAGATGGCCGGCCCACCAACACATTTTTAAAATTAAATTAAAATTTCATCCTTCTTTTATATAATGATATAAAACGTTGATAATTAGAGGTGGCAAAATGGGCTCGGCCCGGAGGGCCGGCCTACCCCGCCTGCGAACACATTTCCCCCGCTTATATCTACTGTCTAACAAACCTGTCTTTGTATGGTTAAGATAATTAGATTTATTGTTGTAAATATTTCAGAAACAAACATTTAAATAAAATGAACAATCATATTGTGATAAATAAAAGTTCATCTAAACAAAATGAGCAATCAACACAATATTTAAATTTTTTCTTCATGTATATTGATTGATTTTATTTTGTAGCAAATTTTGTGTACGGTTGAATCAATAAGACGAGATCATATTGAATAATAATGCAAAGTAGAAGGTTCATTGGTAGTTATATTTGAAGACTGAATTATTGAGTAAATAACTATATTTGATTTGAATAATAATCAATGCTTCTGAATTGCAAAATTTTGTTTGTAGTTGATATTTACAAAGTTCTGTGTGTATGTTGTAACCTTTTAAAGTTCAAAAATAGTAAGACAATTTTTTTTTTATTTTAGATAATTCTCAAATAATAGGTTTGCTTTTTTATTTTTTGTTTCTTTATGTTTATTCCTATACCATAATACCATTGAGAGCTTGATAGCAAGATGAAAGTGTTAGACTTACCGGTGCGATGATTAACCAACGATGGCGACAAAGTTTTTGTTCTTTTTTCCCCGGGCATCGCACGAAATTAGTTATAATACCAATTACTTGGAGATGATGCTTGAGTTGCAATTAAGTTAAAGTTAGTTATTTTATTTTATTTTTGTAAATATGCAAACTGAATAAATACATACACTGATACAAGCATGATTGTTATGAAAATTAAATGAATACAAATTATATAAATATATTAAGGGTAAAGGATTTCTCCATTCAATAGAGGTAAATTATTTCCAGTGAGCCCAAAATGACGTTGTTTTGAGGCGAAAATCAAGGTGTTTTTGTAATTATAATATATTGCAGGGTTATATTAGTATTTATCATTATAATTTTTTAATCTTATAACTCTAAAATGACGTCGTTTTGAGCTCACTGGAGATAACTTTATCTCCGGTGACCAGAGAAATACTTTTCCCGTATATTAATTATTCCTATTTTTCATTCATTTCCTTTTATTTATTTTCTTTATGGATAAAATCAGTATTTTTCTTTCATTTCCTTTTTTTGTCTTCCCTAAATATTAAAATCTCCCTTCAACCTTTCTGTAAGCGACTCCACACAATCAATCATATATAGAAACTAGTGAATTACCCGTGCGATGCTCGGGAGAAAAAGAACAAAATATTTGCCGTCCGCCGTGGTTAATTAATTGCACTGCAAATCTTATACTTACAAAAATATGTGTTGTTATCTTGTTTTATATTTCAGTTGAAAAAAACTACAGCATTGACACAGAACTTTGCAAATGTCAACCACAAACAAAAAACTGCTATCCAAAGTGATCAATATTATGCAAATCAAATATAGTCATCTACTCGATGAGTTATGTAAAAAATAAATACGCCATAGTCACAATTAGGTTTTTATATTTTATACGAGAGATAGACATTCATTTATTACAATCAGATTTAAAAATAATAATAAATAATTGTTTTTTGCAAGGATTTGTGTCGTTTGTATTTGAAATTTTACAAATTTGTATTTAGAAAAATTAAAATCATATTTAGTAATTTTTTTTTTGGTAATCAGATTTAGGAATTTAATTATAAAAGAAAAAGGATAAAATTTTAATTTAATTATAAAAATGTGTTGTGGACCGACCCTTTGGGCCGAACCCAGTTTGTCACCTCTAACTATTAGCATGTAATATATTTTTAAATTTATCCACACAAAAAGGCTATTATAGTTGCGTCAATGTTTTTATATTTTAGATGAACTTTAATTTATTATAATTAGATTTACAAAATAATAATAAATAGTTATTTTTTTGTAAGAATTTGTGTCGTTAATATTTGGAATTTTATAAATTTGTATTTACAAAAATTGAAATCTGAATTAGGAATTTAATTATAAAAGAAGAATAGGAAAATTATAATTTAATTATAAAAATGTGTTGGCAGGCGGGGCAGACAGGTCCTCTGGGCCAAGCCCAGTTTGCAACCTTTAACCATCAGCATTTTATGTAAATAATTATTTTTTTGCAAGGATTTGTGTCATTAGTATTTTGAATTTTACCAATTTATATTTACAAAAATTAAAATCATATTTAGGAATTTAAATATAAAAGAAGAAGAATGAAACTTTTTTTTTTTGGTAAGGCAAGGATGAAATTTTAATTTACTTATAAAAATGTGTTGGTGGGACGGCCCGGAGCCCAGTTTTGTCACCTCTAACTATTAGCATGTAATAGATTTTTATGTTTATCCACACAAAAAAGACTCTTATAGTTGCGTCTAGGTTTTTATATTTTATCTCAGAGATGAACTTTCATTTATTACAATTAGATTTACAAAATAATAATAAATAGTTATTTTTTGTAAGGATTTGTGTCGTTAATATTTAAAATTTTATAAATTTATATTTACAAAAATTGAAATCTAAATTAGGCTTTTAATTATAAAAGATGAATAGTGGTATTTTAATTTAATCATAAAAATGTGTTGGCAGGCGAGGCGGGCAGGCCCTCTGGGCCAAGCCCAGTTTGCAAACTTTAACCATCAGCATTTTATATAAACAATTATTTTTTTGCAAGGATTTGTGTCATTAGTATTTTGAATTTTATAATTTATATTTACAAAAATTAAAATCAGATTTAGGAATTTAATTATAAAAGAAGGATGAAATTTTAATTTACTTATAAAAATGTGTTGGTGGGTCGGCCCTCCGGGCCGAGCCTAGTTTGCCACCTCTAACTATTAGCATGTAATAGGTTTTTGTGTTTATCCACACAAAAAAGGCTCTTATAGTTGCGTCTAGATTTTTATATTTTATCTCATAGATGAACTTTCATTTATTACAATCA